AGTATAAAGTAACAAACTTGCCGGCATCGCTGCTCTTGTGCTTTGGGGCCATTATTAAGTAAAATATGAGATACGTGAACACAAGCCCGGCCATACGGTGACAGTGACTGATAACCCAGGAGGCTTCCAAATGACCAACGGGCAGATGGCACATAGAGCATGGAGAGGCTGGACAAAAAGATGATCCCTGGGGTGGAATGGAGCAAGACTTCCTCACACTAGTCAGAACCACACGCAATCCAAAACCACCAATCATTTCTGGAATTTTCCCTTTAATATTGAAACAGTTGTTTACCATGGGTAACTGAAAATGCAGAAAACGAAACCTCAGATTGGGGAGAGGAGAGACACAGGTAGCTAAAATGTACCAGAATGTTCTCTATTTAATCTCTAGAATCTGTCATGGAGAAAAGGTGGTGGTGGGGGAAGCAGTCAGGGACTTGGCTCTTTTGTTTTTTTATTTTTTTCTCCAGCTTTCTAGGAAGCCCCGGCCAGGGCATGCTAGCTAAAATGTGGAGGGAAAAACGCAGGACTTAACTTTGATGATCATCTCAGCTGTGAGAAAGTGACTATTTCACGGGTCATGGCAGAAATGTTAAATCACAGCTTTAGGTAATTTTGCTCTGTGGGGAGGTGCTGCACAAAGGACCAGGAAGTGGCTACTAAACGTGAGGTCATCCCCTGGTATCCATAGGTTCTCTCTCAGCCGGTCTCATCGGAACCTGGGAATCCTGAATCCAGCACGGCTCTGAGCCCAGCCCAGTCCCAGCCCCATGGAGCTGGAAGGCCCGGGTCCTACCCTCAGATCACCTGGAACGGCCACTGGGAGCTCCGGTCCCCACCGTGCCGATCCTCCCACAGCCTTCCCTCAGTGGTGAAAAGGGACACTCCGCCAAATCATACTTACATGCTGGAGATTTTTCCAAGAGAAAAAGAAATGAAATGGAATCCATGCTGCAGTAGAAGGCAAGGCCTTGGGTGGAGCTTCCAGCCTGCTCTCCCTCCCACCGGCACTGGGCTCTGACCAAGCTGTTATCCTCTCAGAGCTCAAGTCCCAGTTCAAGGTAAACACACAGAGAACGGGGGTCACCGTGTCATGATCCAGGTATGTCAGAGACAGCAGCACGGGCAGCAAATAGAACCTGGGCTCAGAAGCAGCAGACCTTGGTGAAAAGGCTTGTGCTCCTGTCTCCACCCAGCACACGGGGCTGACACCTCTGCCTGGGCCGGAGGTGGCGGGCCCTGGGCAAGGCACCTGCCACCGGGGTGTGGCTGCCTCCACCAGCTACAATGCCATGGTCACTGCGGTGGAAGCAGCGTTCTTTTTCCCTTTCTTTTCTTTTTTTTTTTTTTTAAGCAGCTGTCAATACTTTCCTGGGCCAGTTATAAACCTGGAGACCCAGAGGCTGTGGCCGTCCGTCCCTCAATACTCTAGTGCCACGTTAGGAAGAAGCGCCTGGTCCACACTGCACAGACCTTTTCCCTCAGCTCCCAGGAGCCCCACTGTGTGGCAGGAAGGGGGCTGGTCACCTCTGTTTCAGCAGAAACCCAACAAGTCACCTCCAGGCACCAGAGGATCTCCAGCTCCACACAGGCAATTGCAGTTGTAGCCCTAGAAACTCAAGGACTGAGCACGGAGCCCTGTATGTAAAACGTCTTTCCAAATAATCCCTGAGGGTGGGGCAAAGTTTGGCTGCATTCTCCAAAACACCAAAAAGCTGGAACATGGTAAATGGCAGGAACAAATGGAAGGCAAGTTTCCCAAGCATACTGCTCTGCCTAGGATGTGGTCTGAGTGTGTCTCCCAAGGGTTCATGGATGAATATTTAATCCTCATTGTGAGGTATTAAGAGGGTGGCAAATTAATCTGATTATAGTGTTTAGAGGTGAGGATTTGGGGGTTGATTAGGATCAGATAGGCTCATCGGGGTGGAGCCCCACAATTGAATTCTGGTGGCTTCATAAGAAGAGGGGGAGAGAATACACCACAGGCACACCCATACTCCCTATCTCTTGCAACACCCTTTGCCATCTCAGAACTCTGCCAGCAAGAAGCCATCACCAGCCACAGAGTCCTTGAACCTCTAGAACTGTGAAGTAAATAAACCTATTCTCTTTATAAAGTTACCCAGACTCAGGCATTTTGTTATAGTAAAACAAAACAGACTAAATATGTGTAAACCTTACTCTTATGTAAATTATGGCTAATATAAGTAGTAAAACTCTTCTTCACTACAAGAATTATTACTGGATAGCATTCTTGTGAATGTAAGAATGACAGAGAGGCATAACTTTTCATTTTCTCCTGCTCAATTAAACGAAGTCACTGCTGCTTCTATGTAGAAGGGCAAAGGATGTGTAAAGGATCATAGATGACATCTGCACTCTGGATACTGCTGTCACCAACTGACAACTTTGTGAAATCCAGGTTTTGTTTACTGATCTTAGTCCTCAAGTCTCGTCACTTAAGCCATCACCTTTCCCTGTACCAACATCCTTCTAACCCTTGAGGCCACCATTCCTCTGGAAAAGCCTCCAACAGCTTTTAAAAAGGTAAAACATTCTCAGCGCAGAGTGTCAAGCCTTTCTCAACCTCCATCCCCAGTAGCCAATAGTCAGCCTCCAACAACAGGGAATTAAAGTACATTTTCAAGCATGAATTGGAGGAACTAAAGGCAGGTTGTACATGTGCAAACACTTTGGCTGAGTACCGTGCACACACCTACCATCCCAGCAACTCAAGAGACAAGAGGACTGCAGTTCCAAGTCAGCTGCAGCCACTTCAGCAGTGGCAATTCCCTCAGCAACTTAGAGACTCTGTCTCAAAAAACAAAAAGGGCTGGGGAGACCGTTCAGTAGTAAAACACGCCTGGGTTCAAATCGCAGTACCCACACACAACAAAACAAAAAAATCCTACTATGAAGGTGTGAAAAGGAGAAGTAGGACTCCATCTCTTACCACACTCTTCACTCCTCAAAGTAGGCAGGTCAGAGACAGGGAATATCCCAAGACTATGCCCCTTTACTTCAATGGGAAGACAAAATATAGGGCAGAGAATGCAGCCCATGGAACAGGGGCTCAGAGATCCCATCAGTTCCCTCCCTGATACCTTGGACCCCCACTTCCTTTAACTGCTCCCTTAGCGCAGCCCCAGATGTGAGTCTAGCCAGCCTGTGTGACCCTGTGACTTGCCCTTTTGTGGTGCTGATGCTGAACATGCAGCCATGCGTGTGCACGCTACTTCCCCACCTCCTGGCTTTCTGAAAGAAGAGTGAGAACTCCAAGTCTGTTAATGTCACTGGTGATTAAGAACTTCCTCAGGAGCATGTGCCAGAGACTGCTCCAGGTGAATTATTAATGAATTCTGCTGAATAGATCTAAGGATCTGTCATTTCCAGCTTATGTTCCCTTGAAACCTGACAATCAGATTGACATGGGGCTGACCATATTTGCAAATGCTCAAGTCTGAAAAGGTTCCACTTAAATGATTTTTTTTTTTCTTTTAGATCACAAGGGGTTTAAGAAGAGTTTATGTTCCTAAGTCTCCCAGGATGAGAACGCCCCAGTGGTGGTCATCTTCTGCAAGGTCTGGAAGAGAGACCCTGGAAAGCCCTGTGAAAGCATGAGGGGTCTGAAGCGCAACAGCGCCCTCAGCGGGGAGGGTGGGGATCACAGTGTGGTAAAGGTCAGCAGGGAAGCCTGCGAATCAGGAGACCTAAGCTGAGAGTCCAGGGCTCAACCCCAAACCACACCCTAGCTCTGGACTCATGATAAACGACACCCTAAACAAATGGACAATGTGTCATTATCTCTAAAGGAAATCATGAAGGGTACCAAGGAGAAAACAATGGACAAAATCCTACCCTTAGAAATACTACCTACTGATTCTGTGGTGTTCTGAATGCCAGATGGACATAACCAACACTCAGCAGGTTCCAAAAGACAGAAAACAAACAAAACAAGTGGTCAAGGAAAAAGAGACATTCACAATTTTAATAGTCCTTCTAGACCAAGTAAAAGGAAATTCTAATTTATCCTAAGGTAGTGGATTTATGGAAACCACTACACAGAGAGACTTCAGAGTATAGAACCATCTGGAAATAACAGAAACAAAATAATGTTTGCAAGGAAAGCTGGTGTACTGGGTTTTATCCTGGCAGTTCTGAGACAATGCTCTGGAGGTGAAATTTTACTTGGTCATAAAGCGCTTCCTTCTGCCCGGCCTGAGATGAAACACCAGATTAACGAGACCACCAAATACTAACTCATACCCTGAGTCAAACACCCCAAACAACTCGTGAAAGCTAAGAAATATATTTGTGGGCTGGGGGTGTAGCTCAGTGGTACAGCGCTTGCCAACCAGGTATGGGGTCCTGGGATCAGCCTTTAGCATGGCCAAAATAAAAAATAAAAACAAAACAAAAAAAAAGGACTTTTGTTATAGAACCACATGTTTTTGTCCCCCAATTGCTGCTATTAAATGAACCCTGGATCCCAAAATCCACATCCATGTTACTGTTGTAATTTTGTTGTAATGCACAGGAGCAGATTTTTCACAGGACAAGTAAACCTTCCTTAAAATCCTTTATTTGTTTGCACTTTTAATATAGACTTAGCTTTAACATCAAAGCTGGAATCAAAGATGTATTTCACTGAAAGCACTTAAGAGCAATTGTTATTTACCTTTGCACTCCCTGGCCCAGTACAGTAAACAGGAGACCCCTACCCCCTACTGCCCCCCACATCAGACCATGTGGGGAGGCGGATGAGCAGAGGCCAGCTTGTAGGTGAGAGATACCCACGATTCTATATACTTCCACACCGTCACACACTGCAGTCAGTAGGGGATTAAGGACCAGGTTCCTTGAAAACTTAAATTTAGTGTGGTTTGGGTTATGGTTACTTGCAAAATGCTAGTTGGAAGCCTCCCATGTCAATTAAGCACTCAAGGTAAAAGCGGCAAGTTCCGCTGGTCTCCTGCAGAAATCTGCACACTTACCTTTGGCACACAGTTACAAGAGGTGACTGGCAAAATGCAGAACTCTTCAAAAAGATGAATTTTACAGCCGAATATGCCTCTGAAGTGTCAAGGCCTCTGGGATCCTCCAAACTCTCCAATCCAATGCAAATCTCAGCAGAGATGGATGACCTGGGCCGTCACTTGTATAGAAGGAACCTATAAAAATCTATAAAGTGATAGAAAGAAACATGTATCAGGTATGCTTGTTTGATTTTAATCACTTAAAAAAAATGACTGGTTATTGATTTGCCAAAACCAACAGGCTCTACTGGAAAGATGCTGTGTCCAGAGACTCTCCCCTAAAACCAGCGCCCCACCACTCTCCACCTTCCACTACCCTCAACAGGAGGAGAGGGTTGGGAGAGGGGATCTGAGCTCCCCAGTGCCTTCAGCCCTCCTCTCAACAGCCACTGCTTGCACCCCTCAAAGCTTGCCAAAAATAACAGAATGGATCCCAAGTGCAAAGTGGGCATGTTTGGGAACCTGGGTCAAGGACCAGGAGGGCCTGGGTCCTCTTTGAGACACATTCCTCTCTTGGAAGTCCTGCCCCAGCCATTCGTTGGGAGATGGCCGGGATCTCTCTCCCTGGGTTGAAGACACCCCCTCCACCCTACCCAGGAAATCTGAGAGAAATACTTCAAAACCACACGAAGTCAAGAGGACAGAAGCCTGACAAAGGTGACCGCAGATCCCTCCCAGCTGGTGAGTCTGCTGCTGCAGTACGTGCTCTACACTTGGGTAAACATTTCCAGTCCTTGACCAACATTTTCCAGGGGACCCTGAAGTACTCGGTGGACTTCTGAGTGAGTTCACTGGCATTTTTAATTACATTTCAAACCCACAGGGGCTCTGTCTTGACAGTTCACTTGGAGAAGATCTATTAATTCATTCCTAGCATGATTATGACCCAAAATGTTAAATACCCCACAGAAAAATCGAATTCTATTTTAGTCAAATAGAAAAAGATAATTCAAGCAGGGCTATCATAAAAATGTTATAAGGCAAGTTCATAAATAATGATTTAAAAATTAACCCCTCTTTATGCATTCTCTAGAATCATGTTAAAAGCTGCATGATTTTTTTTTAAAAGGTATGACTTCATTCAAGGAAAAGCTGATAACCAAACACAATGGGAATACTAGATGTGAGCAAGATTTAAAAGCATACCTGAAAGATTACACCTTTCTCTCTGTCAGGGGTTTACAATGACAGGTCCCCTGGAAATGCAAGTACTGTATCTGGTCTCAGGTCTGAAACCAGAGTTCTTATTTCTTATGCTGATATTTTAATGTCTTGTTATTTACACCACTTACTGTAAAAAGTAATCAACACATGGCAGTGTATTGGGCAGCCATGACCCCAAATTACTTTGGTATTTGTAGTTCCAGCTACTATTCCAAAAAGAAGCTGCATTTTTAAGATATTGACAAGTAAATTTGCCCAGTCAGGCTTCCCTAGGTCAATGCCAGGGAGAATCCGTGTGGCCATTTGAGGTGTCCAAATTCAGGGCCTCCCTTGAATGCATCACACTCAAATGAGTGCGATTATTTCATCTTTCTAATAACCTTCCAGGATAGATACTAATACCTAAATTTACAGAGGTGTTTCTCAGGGACTGTGTTAGTCAGCTGTCTGTTGCTATGTCAAAATACTTGAGACAATCAACTAATAAGAAAGATTTATTTTCACTCATGGTTTTAAAGGATTCAATCCATGGATAGTTGGCTCCTTGGCCTGTAGTGAGGCAGAACATCATGGCAGGAAGAAGATGGGGAGCAGATGGAAGGGGCCAGGGCCCCAGTATCTCTTTTAAGGACATGCCCCCAATGACCTAACTTCCTCCCTCTAGGCTCCACCTCCTATAGCCTCACCATCTCCTAACAGCACCATGCGCTGGCAATGAGCCTTCAGTACATGGCCTTTAGGGTATATTTAAGGTTCAAACCATAATAGAGACATCAAAGGTTTTCCTTGATAGGCTTTGAGTTAGAAAATCACTTAGGTTGTTAAATTTCAAACTCAGTGGGTTTTGCACACCCCTTGTTCTTTCTGATGGTCTATAGAAGAAACCCTAATCGTGCCAACAGGGAACCAAATGTGAACAACTGATGGGCTAGCCCTAAGCAAAGTAACAGTGAATTGGCTGGGAACCTGGGTCCTTTGATACTTGGACAAGTCAGAACACAAAGCCTCTGAGCACAATCAGTAAAGGAAGTCGCAGACGGAATGAAGCAAGACTTGAACCAATGTCATGGAGCAGGGGACATGAAGTGAAACTGCCTGAAATCCATTCCAGATTGCAGTGGCCACCTTGGATTAAAGTGTGATAAATGAGGGGTGCAGTGTTTTCCTCAAGAAAAGCATGGCACTGGCAATCAGCACACTAAGCATGCACCTGAAACTGAAATAAATGTAGTGGAGAAAAAACCTCTCTCTGTGAACCTAAGTAAAGTTGCCATTGCCTCTGAGGGACGTGAGGCTATCAGCTGATTCAAAACTTCTATTCAGGAAGAACACTCAAATCAGGTCTTAATTACAAAATGTGACCTCTACCCATCAGGAAAGCAGACACTTTTATGCAAAAAACCATCAGAATGCAAGCTAAACACTATCAGGTACAAGGTCACCTGCACTGCAGAGGGCCTTCACAAAAGAATTTATTCAAGGATTTTCTACACAGCCAGACTCAGGCAGGTGGAAATATAATGAAAGGTTCTATGCTTTCCTTTAAAAATACTCCTCCAGCACCACGAAATAATAGAAAACAGGGATTAATACCTATACCATACGTATCTCTTTCTTCACTTTAATGTAGATACGAAATAGTAAAAAATTTCACCATTGCAAAAACTGCAGGATTGTCTGAATTCTTTAACACCTAGAAACTTTTTTCCAGACTTCTAGGAGGTGTGGAGTTAACTGATCACCTACTTTGACCGGAAGAGCATGCTTTATGCTGCATGCATGGGTCCCATGGTCTGCAGACTTCATTGTGCTACCTGCCCCAGGTACAGGGCCGGGCATCAAGAAGCTCCTGTGCAAGCTTGTCTTGTTCATCCTAAATTCCTGATGTCACTGTCTTCTGGGTGGTCCTGGCTATTTCCTGGCAACCTCAGAGCCTGACTTGGATGGCCAATGCTAGCATCCGTCACTAACATGCTTCATTCCAGCGCAGCCACTCGGGGTTAATAAACACCTGTGCACCTTGTTCTGATGACAGCCAAAGCTGTGTGCCTTGTGGGCACGATATTGCAGGACACTATGACTCGTCTGCTTCAGAGTCAGCCCAGTCAACCTCCAGAAAACTCAGGGGACCCACTTCTCTTTCTCCCTGACTGAAACACCGTAACAGGCAGAGAGAAGAATCACGTGTGACCCCCGTGCCACACTCACGGGGGCTTCCCTCAAACTCCAGCCTCACCAAGCTTCACGGCAACTCTGGGAGGCGACTCTCATCCTCCAGCTCAGGAACCAGCCTAACAGAAGTTCATAGCCACAATGTAAACACATGCTTGTCCAGTTTGAAAGCTAGCCGTGATCTTTCTCCTTGCAAAGATTACCAGGAAAGGGCCAGCAAACAGCATCTGTTGCTGCCATCTGTCTGAAATATCAGCCACCCTGGAAGGCTGCTTCAACCTCACAAATCAAGCAGGGGCAGTGTCAGGCTGCATCAAAGAACAAGCCAAGAGCGCACGTATGACCTTCCTTTTCAAAGGTACTGTCAGTCTTAGATGGCAGTGCAGGGCGGTGGGGGTGGGGTGGGGGACATTGAATACATTATCTGGCAGGTTTAAGTAATGCCCACTGCCTAGAGAATCAGGTGTGTGTCATAACTAAACCCGAAACACGTTCCGTGTCCCTGGCCCAAAATGCTTGGGAACAGAAGTATTTCATATTTTGAAGGTTTGTGATTTTGGAATATTTACATAGACTTTACCAGTTTGGCATCCCTGATTCAAAAATCTAAAACGCAAAGTTGCTCCAAAATTCAAAAATTTTGAGCACCAACCTCAAAGTGTTTCAGATTTCTGGATTCAGGCTTTTTCACACTAACGATGCTCAACCTATATAACACACCAAGAGAAATGCCCCAGGGCCCTGCAGAAAGAGCTAAAAGCACAAGATTGGCACCGGCCTCCGAGCTCTCAAATGCCTCCTCTCTCCCTTCCCCTCTTCCCCAACACAAGGCTTGTCCTCAGCACAATCCCCAGCAGTCATCTCTAAGGGGGTCTATAGTTCAGAATGAACTTGTCAGTCACTTGACCAGAACACAGGGGCCACCAGTGCTGTCTGAGTGACTGATGGCAGAAATGGCTACAACTCATTCCTCCTGAACCACTTGGAAGAAAACTTTATTCAAGGGAAAGCTGCTGATTTCAGACACTGAACAAAGCCACACCTGTCTCCTTGATTAGGCTGGCTGAAGTTCAACCCTATGTGGACCGATACTGAGCGGCTTAGATGGTTTATCAATGTGAAACTCAAAGGCTTCCAGGAGGTGACCTCAGCTCTTTTATCACCCCATGCACCAGGCAAGGCCCAGAGAGGACACATGCCCATCAACTACCTCCAAAACTTCAGAACCCCACTGGAAGCAGGGTTTTAACTCTGGACAAAGCTGTCCTGAAAAGGAAAAATAACCATTTTTCTGGGCTGGAATTATATCATCTCCAAGAAGCAATGCTGGTTATCAGGTTGAGCAGAAGTTGCTCAGGACAGTGGCAGGGAAAAGCTAGTTCTGATTCCAGCCCTCGAAGTAGCCACAGAGACATCATGAGTGGCTGAGTGTCTGGGCAGGAAGGTCAGATTTTAAGCTCTGACAGTTCTACATACAGGAACCATGATTTCTGCCTTCAAAACTATAGCCAGAGAGTGGGTCAACGACACACACCGAGAAGCAAAATATGGACCAGAAAAGTGGCAACGAGGGCGAGGGATGCCGCTCAATGGTGCATGCCTGAGGCCTTGGGTTCCAACCCCAGGAGTGGACAAAGTGGCACAGAAACAAGGCGGTGGGTCAGGACAAGGGGGCTGCAGGCCTGGCTCAGCCACCAAATGCTTCCATTCCCTCATCACCAACCCTGAGTGCCCGAAGGGGCCCCTCAACTCCAGCTCTGTAGCTTTTCGACGCACGTGAAAATGGACCTTAGAAATTACCAAAACTGG